ACACACACATTCACACACACACACACACACACACACACACACACACACACGCACACATTCCACCATATAATGAGATCCTATATAAAACATGCTTCATGTAGCTTAATGGAGGCTTGTGTGTGTGTGTGTGTGTGTGTGTGTGGCCATGCATCATTTCCCAAGATGCCTTATTTAAGGATCCACCACTGTCTGCAGGATTTTCTTTGTATTTTTGGTGGTTTCTGCCAAATATAGAACTGAGCCTAAATTATTAGCCAGTCAGAGGACAGCGAGATGGCTGGTTGGGTGTCACATTTTATGTTTATCTCTATAAACTGTATTGTTATGTGCATTTCGTTCATGTGGAATTCTTTGTAGTGGAATATAATTAGTGTTTCCATATGGAGAGGTTGATCACAATGGGATCAGAGTGTGTTGCCATGGTTTCCTGTTGGCCACCTTGCTAAGACTGCATGAGCATGTGTGTGTGTGTGTGTGTTCTGTCAATACAGGAAAGCACAGTGAGTGATAAGTGTGAGTGTTGTGTGAAGGATAGACTGTGGTTTGGTGCTTGTGTGACCATTCTGTTTTAGGATGTGATAACTTGCGGTTTTCTGTTTGTGAAGAGGTCAGTTGCTTGGCAGTCTCTCATGATATTTCTGTGCATGTTTGTTACGTTAAATGAGTTTATCAGTTGGGACATTTGCTACGTCTGTCATTCAGTCACTACTGTCTCAGAATGTAGAGTCATGATGCCGTCTTCAGCGGGTGGTTTGGTCAAAGACCAAACAGCAGAGCCTTTTACAAATAGCACACTGTTCTGCAGCTCTTTTTATTTCATACTGATGAAAATATGAATAAAATATTTTATACCAATTAAGTTGCACCAGATATTCTATAAAACCTGCTGATAGAGTTGCTCTAACACCAAAAATGGCTTTCTGTGTCAAGTGTGAGGCAGAAAACGTTAAATTGTGAAATATGCTCTTGCGAGTTAAAGAATTATAAGTACACTTTAGCATACATTTTAAAACAGTAGCCTACTCATTATACTTGAAAAGAATATACTTAATGCAAACTGAATGTAATGTTTTTGGACACTTAATTGCATGTTAATGGAAATTAAATGAATTCAATTAGCTGAACTTTAGAGTGATTTTTAATTCACTTCAGTAGGACTTAAGTACATCTTTATATGTAATTTCATAATTCTGTTGTCTTTGAAATATGGTTAAAGTAATGCTGAATGTACTGTACTGAAAAGCATTTGTGGTCAACTAAAATGTACTTTAATGTAATTTCTATTGAAACTTGTATGTTGTGTTTAAATATAGGGCTTAATTGTAATTACACATTTGTAATGATCAAGTTGCAATTGCACTTTTACACAAAAGTAACTCTCTTTAAGTACACTTAAGTGGCATTTTATTCCATTAATATTATATTAACGGCATACATTTTAAAAAATAAACTTTCAAGTTTTGAAGTACACTACAAGTGCACATTCAATACAATTAAGCGCACTTCATTTTCACAAGGATGTTTAGCGTGTTCTTCTCCTTACAGTAACAATCTCTATTGACAGACAAAAGAGAAGAGGAAGATCACTGGAGGAGAAGAGAAAGACAGAAGGCTGTTAGAAAGTGAAGATAGAGGAAGAAAAAGAGAGATATGATGGATCCGTTGCCTATGGATTCAGGAACAGTGGATGAGTTGGTGGACTTCTGCATACAATCCTTTGGTGAGTCTATAAAGAAACAGTCTTATAGAGTACAGTTTGGCTGGAACATTTAGTCTGATGAATTAGAGCAGTTGAGAAGCAGAAGTTTCTGCTGCGGATCTACAGAAATGGTGAATCAGCAAACAATAAGCATGCTTTTTATGAACAAAGCTTAGCTGGTAAAGCTGGTCAAGGAAGTTGACCAAGGAAGTCACCACAAAAGGCAAGGCAAGTTTATTTGTATAGCACATTTCATACACAATCATAATTCAACGTGCTTTATATAAAAGGAATTAACATAATCATAAAAATAATCACAACAGCAAAAGCAAGGAATTAAAATTTTTAAACAATTAAAAAATTTATTTAAAACTAATTAAAGGTTAAGAATAGAAAATTATGATATATAAAATACAGTGCCACACCAAAATGTGTAGGTTTATTTGATAACACTTTAGATTATGGAACAATATTCACTATTACCTAGTTGCTCATTAGCATGCATATTACTAGCATATTGGTTGTTTATTAGTACTTATAAAGCACATATTAATGCCTTATTCTGCATGGCCATAATAACCCTGCCCAATACCTAAACATAACTACTACAAAACACTTACCTATGTACTATCAATAAGCAGCAAATTAAAAAAAAAAAAGTTAATAGTGAATATGTGTTCTCTATTGAAACAATGAGTTATTGTTTATTCTTCATTAATGGTCTGTGATGTTTGTGTTTTCAGACAGTGAAGGCACAATTAAAGATACATCATTTGTGAAAATGTTTCTGATGATGCATCCTACACTACAAGTGCACATTCAATACAATTAAGCGCACTTCTTTTTCACAAGGATGTTCAATGTGATCTTCTCCTTACAGTAACAATCTCTATTGACAGACAAAAGAGAAGAGGAAGATCACTGGAGGAGAAGAGAAAGACAGAAGGCTGTTAGAAAGTGAAGATAGAGGAAGAAAAAGAGAGATATGATGGATCCGTTGCCTATGGATTCAGGAACAGTGGATGAGTTGGTGGACTTCTGCATACAATCCTTTGGTGAGTCTATAAAGAAACAGTCTTATAGAGTACAGTTTGGCTGGAACATTTAGTCTGATGAATTAGAGCAGTTGAGAAGCAGAAGTTTCTGCTGCGGATCTACAGAAATGGTGAATCAGCAAACAATAAGCATGCTTTTTATGAACAAAGCTTAGCTGGTAAAGCTGGTCAAGGAAGTTGACCAAGGAAGTCACCACAAAAGGCAAGGCAAGTTTATTTGTATAGCACATTTCATACACAATCATAATTCAACGTGCTTTATATAAAAGGAATTAACATAATCATAAAAATAATCACAACAGCAAAAGCAAGGAATTAAAATTTTTAAACAATTAAAAAATTTATTTAAAACTAATTAAAGGTTAAGAATAGAAAATTATGATATATAAAATACAGTGCCACACCAAAATGTGTAGGTTTATTTGATAACACTTTAGATTATGGAACAATATTCACTATTACCTAGTTGCTCATTAGCATGCATATTACTAGCATATTGGTTGTTTATTAGTACTTATAAAGCACATATTAATGCCTTATTCTGCATGGCCATAATAACCCTACCCAATACCTAAACATAACTACTACAAAACACTTACCTATGTACTATCAATAAGCAGCAAATTTAAAAAAAAAAAGTTAATAGTGAATATGTGTTCTCTATTGAAACAATGAGTTATTGTTTATTCTTCATTAATGGTCTGTGATGTTTGTGTTTTCAGACAGTGAAGGCACAATTAAAGATACCTCCTTTGTGAAAATGTTTCTGATGATGCATCCTTGGTACATAGCTTCCACCGATCTATCCAAGAAACTGCTGCTACAGTATCCTTTATCTACAACACCTTTCGGTTGTATTTTTCATACAATCAATATATTTCAACTTCATTAGACGGTTACAACCCATGTTAGATTGACTGGAGCTAACATAAAAAGTGCTGTAAAACCTGATATCCTTTGGGTCAACCAAAGTACTAGCGTTTTCATTCTTGTTAAAGTTAATTATGTAAAGCTAAATGAAAGAATATTTGATGCAAATCTATGAAATCTTGACTATGCATTGATAACTTAAGATTCCATGAAGGTCATTTTTTCCCCATATTTTCTTTTTGGGTTACATGTTCTGTTGTAAGGTTTGCTGGTGTTAACATAAAATGAAAGCCTAAAATTAAATCTTTACACCCTTAACAAATATACAGGTCACAGGCAGGCAGCACTGAAGATATCAGAGCCAAAATATGCCACCTCGTCAAGTAAGACATCATTTAAACTCTACATTGTATGTCTTATATTCACTTATTCATTGCATTTTCTCTCCGCTCTTTTTGTATGTAGGTACTGGATTTCCGAATTTCCAGTAGAGTTTGATCTGAATCCTGCTTTGGCTGACCAGATAAAAGACCTGAGAGAGAACCTGAACACTGGCGGCAATGAAACACAGAGTCAACTGATTGATGTAGAGAGTGTGTAAGTTTACAGACACACACCCACACACTTATTGTCATCTTCCCACTCTGAAAAGGTTAAGCGGTTCACCAAAAATGAAAGTTCTGTCATTTATGGCTTGTTCACACCGGGATGAATATCGCGCGCGATTATCGCCGACGGTTAAAGCCTCGTGA